TAGGAAGACATATTTAAGGATATACTGACAAAAAAACTTATTGTAACAATGTTTATTTTATTACAAGAGCAAAAAAAAAAAAAAGATATAACAAAGGAATATATGAATTTTTCAAATTTAAATGAAGATTTATTATTATTCAGGAATAATCTGAATTTTGTTTTCTTTCTAAGACACTGGATTTTCACAAGTGCTTTGCAAAATCTGGGTAGGTGTGTCTCTTTTTCCTCTATAATTGTTTCACACAAAGTGCTATCAGGTAAGTAGATTCATCCTATCGTGATAAGTACTGTAGTATATAGCTCAACAGAAAAATTGCCCACAGTGGGTGTTTCTTGGTCAAAAATAATTTTGCTTTGACAATTGTTCTAACCATGTGTTATATTGTGTCATCTAACTTTGATTTGTCAGTTTGCTAGTATTTTACTATTGATGCTGTTGCTTGAAAATCTAAATATAATATTTAAAAAAAATCTGTGTTCAAAAACAAAATCTATAACTTCTCATACTGTGGTTAAACTATGAATGCAAATATTAGCCCTGGGTGAATTTTTAGAGCTTTGTTTAATCACGCTGAGAAAGGGGATGAGTCTCTTGTACAGTGCTACCAGCCCACATTACATAATGGACCTAAACTGTATGACAAATGTGCATCAATGCAGTTCTCAGCTGAATTGACTCTTACTTAGCTGTTAAGCAGGGAAAACAAGGATACTGCAGAACACAATAAAGAATCATGCAAACAGTCCCAACACCAACAACTGGGGTAGAAGCAGCTTATAAAATCAGTTTGGTCTAACCAAATGCCCATTATGTCATGACTCTCCTGACCACCGCAATGACCTTCAACTAAGGAGAGAACAACAGTTGGAAGCAGCAGACTGACTGTTTTATTTGTGAATATCAAATGTTTTATTTTTACCATTAAACATTTTCTTTTAAGTCTGTGATTAAATTGCTGTACAGTGCCATGCTACTACATTTAAGTAAACTACATTTTCAACTGTTCAGAGAGTTTCTCTATCCTGTGTTTAAGAAGGGTTTAAGAGACTTCTTAGTAGAAAATTGAAATTTCCCTCTTCCCCCATGTTGCGGCAATGGCACCATGTCATCTATACAGACTATTGGGAGCTTCTTGGTTTGACTGGCAAGAGAGGCTTCGCTGTGACCTGCAATTGGGTTAAACCAGGAAGCTGCCAGGTATCAGGCAAAGAATACCCAAGTCTGCCACTATAAAAGAAGGATGGTTCAGTACTTAAGGCACAAATCTAGGATTTAGGAGACATGGATTAAATTCCCTGCTCTGCAACAGACTTCTTGGGTGAGACTGGTCTCAAAGGTGCTAAAAGGTTTCTATGCCTCAGTTACCCATCTGTAAACCTTGCAGGACAGTGATAGAAAAAAATACAGTGAAGAGTATGAGGTGCTCAGATACTAAAGTAATGGAGGCTTTAATAATGTACCTAAAATAGACACTAACAGACCAGGTCGCCGCTGCCAGAAGCAGATGGGACAATCCAGATCCACCTGTAGAAGCATGAGTGGGTGGGCGGGATGGGGAGACCCCTCTATTAAGGTATGTCTACATAGCAGGGCTAAAGTCGAATTAAGATAAGTAACTTCAGCTGTGACAATTGCATAGCTTAAGTTGAAATAGCTTAACTCAGCTTTTGGTGCGGTATACACAGCAGGAAGTTGAAGGAAGAAAACTCTTCCTCTGACTTCCCTTACTCCTCATGAAATGAGGGTTACTGTGAGTCAGAGTAAGAAGTCCTCCAGCTCAACATCATTTTGAAATAAAAACGTGTAGAGTAGACACATTCTTCGTTATTTCAGAGTAACGGTAGTTATTCCGAAATAACGCTGCTCTGTAGATGTACCCTAAGAGACCAACCTTGAGCTGTTTTATAAAACAATGTTTGTGCAGGAAAGTAGGCTGAGTCAAGTGACAACAATGTTCTCCTGAACAAACTGCAGGTGCAGAGGAGAGGACGGCGAAACCGGATGGGGGAACAGTACTGATGAAAACATAATTACAAAGTGGCAAAAAGCAGGGGAATATTTAAGTGATTAGAAACAATGGGTTCTGTAGAAATATAGACATAAGATAGGGAGTGTAAAGGAAAGACAAATATTTCCCACTGGAGAATGGAGCAGCGGAAGCAAATATTAGGAAAAAAATATAATTTTAAATTCTGAATTGTGGGGTCATGCGAGGTTTTTGGGGGTCATAATAAGTATAATTTTGAAGAGTATCAGGTCCAAAGGTTTAGAATATGTCTCAAGAACTAGTAGCAGCACAACTGCTGAAATCTACTACATTTTCCTTGTAAATAAAACTGTTTGGCTTATTCCCAAACAGCCAATTGTTTATTAGTAATTATTTTATTTTATTTTATTACCAGTCATCTGTGGTAATATAAAGCTGAAGAGGCTGTAGGGTTAACACCAATTGCTCTGTTCAAGAGATAATCAAGTGGCCAAAACATAGTCCCTTCACAACATAGCAGAAAAATCATGACACACTATAAAAGGGATGTGCTATATGTGCATTTCTCCCAAGGGCATAATCTAACTTTTGAGGAAGCTAAAGGCCTTTCCCACACTAACATTCATTTTATTTCTTCTTTTACACTGATTCTCAATAATAATTATAAAGACTTCCTCCCTCTGCCAGTTTCAAATGCCTTAAGTTTTCAGAAGTTTTTTTTAAATTGAATCATGATTAATAATAGCCCCAGGCTAGTCATACCCCAAAGACAAGTTCTCACACTCTGAAATGATAAAGCATTTCATCAGTTTTTTTGGGGAAAAAAACCTACTACCCACAGAGTTGCAACATCACATTATTCGTGCGTTGCTGAATGTTTAAAATCCCACCGCATCCCCAACAATGATGTGTTACACAAAACAACATTAGAAGTCATTGAAGTGTCAGATAGTGATTTCATCGTGTGTCAGGCCTCCTACGAAAAAATGATTCATCTTTTAAGTACTGACACCTCAAAGAGTTATTAAGGCAGAAAAGAAATTCACAAACTTTAAACTGAGAAGTGTTTTAGTGTTACTTTACTCCCAGATAAAGAAAAGGCTTATGCAGGTACTGAGAATGCAGTGGAATCCTCACAGTATTAACCATTCATTCTTTTAAAATGTAGGTCTAACTTTGAAAAGTGACTTTATAAAAGCAGTATCATGGGGTTTCATGTTTATTACATCTCAGTGGCTTCCAAATCAATTGTGCTCAATTTACATCTAAAGATATGTTTTTTCTTACCACCAGCCTTGAAACTCAAATTGGAATGGGAGAATCAGGCTGTGTTTTCTGGTTTGTACACTACTACCAGTCCCAAAGATTATGTAGGTCAAAGTAAGTTGGCCCTTAAAATCTATTCCTTGATTACAATCCAACCCCCACAAAAGGCAATGGGAGCCATACTGACTATTTTAATGGAAACTGGACAGGGAAAGAATTTGACCTCCTTATACGAAATTACATAATCTTTCTCCGGTATTGCATGAGCCAGAATAGAATGCAGCTCTTCTATATCTCCCATAAATAATACTTTTTAGTCTTGTTAACCCTGCAGAGTGAATAAGCCAAACTCATTTTTGTTGCAAAAAATGGGCCTGGAAACATACAGAGGAAAGATGTATTTAACAAGATGGTACCATTTTTACCTAGTCACCTTTTCTTATCATAACTGCACTTTACAGCAAACACTGATCACTCATTTATAAAATACTTTCAAGCTATAATGTTATCATACTTTACCATCACTGGGGCCTAAGAGTGACACACATAAAGACAATTTTATCTCAACTATGAAAAATCCTTAGGGTGGTAATCTTCCTCCAACACTGATCATGCTGGATGTGTCTACCCTGCACCGTAGCTAGAAATAAGATACGCAATTTGAGCTATGCAAATTGTGTATCTTATTTCAATCTTATTTCAAAATAGCTTATTTCATAATAGTGTATGTCTAAACAGCACCAAATTTCAAAATAACCCGCTATTCGGAAACGTCCTTTACTCCTCATGGAATGAGGTTTAGAGGGACGTCAGAATAGCGAGCCCATTATATTTCAAAATAGCAGACTTGCTGCGAAGACATGGGATAGCTATTTTGGGATACTCTGGTATCCCAAAACAGCATTGCAATGTAGATGTAGCCTCTATCAGAAATTACTGAGATAGCCTGAAAACTTCTGTAGCAAATATAAGCCCCAAACCCACACGGTCCTAAGCAGGTAATTAGCATGCTTGTACCTTGCTTTGAATAAGAATTCCAGAGGTAATATTGTGTTGAATTTAAAAGTTAAAGAAAATAAAACACACAAAAAACCCACCTAAATTCATATAATAAACCTATCTGTTCATATTGCATTCTTCCACACAATTTCAAAAGTATTACTTGGCTAATCTTGAGTATAAATGAGGTCCAATCTCTTCATAATTTCTGATTTAGCTTGACCTTTTCTCTAGGAGCAGTGAAATATAAGTTGTATTGTAACCCTTCCACCAGGTAACACCAGCAGCAGCCAGGTGTGGGTTCAATATATACGGGTTCTTCTCTATCCATCCATCCATCCATCCACCCCAGAACTGTCTCAAGCCCCCACCCAGTAACCTGGGAAATTCACACCCTTGGGTGCCTCTGTGATGCAACGCTTCTCCACTCGCAGGCACAGAGTCTGAGTGTGGAAAAGAAACTTTTAATAAAAGGGGAAAGAAGTAACCTGACATTAATTTGGGAAAACATCACAACCAAAGTTCATAACCAAAAGCACAAGTAAACATTCCAGCTCAAGTAGGCTAGGCAATGTCCTTTTCCCCTCAAACTCTTAAGTCCAGCAATGTAAATGTCTCCTTCACATGCCCAACTCTTCTCTGAACCCCACTCACAGTCGCTTCCCTTGGTCAGGGCGGACCAGAGGTTATCTGCAGAGTTCATCTCCTATCTTAAGTCGGGGGAAGTAGGAGGCATTTTACTCACCCTGCTGATCACTCACCATCCACCTGCTCGCTGCTTTCTTGCGCCATTCTGTTGGCCATTCGTCATCCCTTGCTGCCGCTGCTTTGCTGGCTGTTCATCACGCCTCTCCATTGCCACCCTGCTAGCTGCTCATCACATCTTCTGCTGGCTTGTGGTGGATTTGGCTCTGGTGCAAACCTAGTGATTTCAATTCTCAGCTCAAAGCACAGTCCAGCCACAAGAGATCCAGCATTCACTGACGTAAATTTACATACAAATTTATGGAGCTTTTCTTTAACTCTATCATTGAAATACTAGAGAGAAACCCATTGAACCAGTCTCATAGCACAGGCCTGGAGGACATGCAGTCTGCTGACTCACCTTCCTCCCCAGCTTAAACTATAGGGCTCTGGAAGATGAGTCTCTGTCCTTCCAAGTATATTTACACTGACAGGGCCTCTCCTTTGAACTGAGTTAAACACAGTCTGACTTTTCTGCGTTCTCCCAATAACTGCAAGCATTGGTGGTCATATCTTACATTTCCTGCACTTAGTATTAACTCAGTTTGTGACTCCAAAACAGCCAAATTGGTTACAATGGGCAAAACACCTTCTCACAGATGAATATCTACCATGCCTAAGTGAACTGAGTGAGCTATATTTACATAAAATCATATTCTCTTTTCCTTACATTAAATTAGGTAGAAAAGTATGGTAACGTTAAAGCTTGAATCAAATTTAAATAAATTATTTTTTGTAAACATTACATCATTAAATGCATCATTTGCCCCTCCCCAGCCCAGTCCTAAATTATACTCCAATATATCTGGATAAGAAAAAGTGTGTATAAATGTTTATTAAACATGATAATTTCTTTTTAACTACATTAAAAGCTAAAATGTTATGTTGCAACAGTTGGTAAAAAAAGTTATGAAATAATCATGGGAATTTGCACAGCAAACATAATTCTTAGCGAGTTATTTCTTTACAAGCTACCTGCAACATTTTATTGAGCATTTAGGGGTTAGAATACTGTATGTCTCTCCAATGCTCTAGAAAGCATGGCACTGTTCTTGCAATTGTTTATACACATATAATCCAATGACGTATCAGGCCTCCTTTACACAGTACAACTATACTTTCATAATAGGTATGTGCCACTTTCATCTGACTAAATGTCAAAATACATGTTTGATTTGTATCCACTTCCTCTGGATAATTATCACAGCCAGGTATATCTGTGTTTATTTGTACACATTTACTATGCATCCAGAACCAGGTTTGTATCAGTGTGTTTTAGTAAAATCTAGGTTAGCTAACCCACAGTGGCTCATCAGAGGATACAATTATTGGAAGACATGCATACACACCTGAAGCATGTGGGACAATGAATTCTGGGATGATCCCCCCCATCTCTCCCCCTGGCCCATGAAGAGAGCTCTGGGAGGAAAATACGACAAACTGGTTACAGAATAAGGGGTTCTGTCTACATTGCCAAAAACCCACCTCCAAAAACCACAATGCAACAAATTGGTTATCATGACTACCATGTACTAGCCTGGGCCACTAGCAAGGGAGAATCACAGACAGATGCCAAAAATAACTAGCCAAGGATTAATCACATTGCATGTGCAAAGAAGCTGCTTTTAGAATCAGCCATGATATTATTAACTGGTTACAAAACCCGTTAAATATTTTTGTGAAATATGTTCAGTTTCCATTGTAGGTACTTTAGACTCCATATACAAATTGCAGAATTAACGCTCTTTTTTGCTTCTTCATTTGTGGGACAGTATCTGGTAGTATCCACTTTCTCTTCCTCTACAATCAATAATTTTTTTTTCCTAAAAAGAAACAAGAGACTGCTTGAAGCAGCCAAAGCTACCTCTGCCATTTAGAAATCTCAGAGGGGTAGCCATATTAGTCTATAACTTTAAAAAGAATGAGTGGTCCTGTAGTACTTAGAGACTAACCAAAATATATAGAATCGTGAGCTTTTGTGGGCAAAACCCACTTCATCAGATGAACTGAAGCGATGAAGTGGGTTTTGCCCATGGAAGCCCACGATTCTACATATTTTGATTTGTCTGTAAGGTGCCACAGGACCAGTCATTGTTTCTGCTAATAAGATTAACAAGTCTGATTTCTCAAGGTTTTAACAAAGGAAAAGCGGTGATGGTACTTCTTTGCCAGACTGTATCCAGCAGTAGTCAGCAACCTGCAGCCCACTGGCCAGATGTGACTCATTGAGATTCTGTGTGTGGCCTGTGAGTCGTTTTGTTTACCATTCCCCACATGCAGGGTTGCCAGATGCTGCTGGTTTCCATCCGGGTAGTTTTTTTCCTACCAGTATTATTAAAGTGACACGTGTGTAAAACAATGGCACATAAAATGAGGTGCATGGTGATTGCATACAACATTGACTGTAAGAGTCTTGTGCTTCCTCTGCAGCCTATCAAACTGCTGCTACAGTTCAACAGACACTCCCCACAAATTCTAGGTACACAAGTGCAGTCAGCAAAACTAGGGATATGAAGGTTTAACCAGTGAGCCTCACACTTAAGGGACACTGCCGGGGTGCTCCAGCCCTGCCTGGGCTGGAGTGGCCCTCCTGCCTGCGGCCCTTTTATCAGTTAAATATAATGTTTAACTACCTTATCCCAGGAGGCCATCCTGGTTACAGTCTTGCAACCCACTGAGATGGAGGGCCACTCATGTACAGGCTTATGTTTATTTATAAAACTGATAATATATTTTAAAAAAACAAGCTCATGACCTCCACTGCATTAGGCATTAATTATAGCCTATTGTACATAAGCTTGTCCTTCAAAACAATTTAACTTTAGATATAAAGGCATTATAAAGTCTAATGTAGGCTACCACCGGATTGGATATGGTGCTAGCAGCAGTTCCAAGTAGACTTTATTTCAGCAAAGAAGTCTCCCTCATTTTACAGTCAGTAATTATTATTCTGTTGCATTTGAACTACTATCCCTAGATGAATTATCTAGTCATAAGGAAGAAAATTAAGTTTGAGGGCTTCATTGCATAGCATATACTATATATCTTGGAAAACATGATTACCGCTATAAGCCATTAGGCAGGAGGAAAGTAGAACTTCCTTGCATCAGTCAGTTCTTATAAGGATATCAGGTATACAATACTAATAACCAGTTATAGTTTAGTGGCTTTTGCCATAACTTTTTTGCTTTATAGTATGTAAAATATATGTAGTATGGTTATAAAGATTATGTAACAAACACTTTATATGCATACATATTACACACAGAAAATTATACTGAAAGCACGTTAAAGTTGCAAGGTCAGACTCTCAAAAGTTAGGAAATGTCAATTTAGTTTGCTTGGGCAACCTTAATTTGCCTCCTTTGTGCATCTGCATTATGACACTCTTTAACTGCATGATCACATACTATTTTTCTCCTCAGAACCTTACTCATTCGCTGCACAAGAAGGCTGTGCTCTAGAGAAGAAACTGGGTCATACAGTGAAAGACACTGTAGTCTCCAGGACAAAATTCACCTGCTTTAACCATGAGACCATGCTATTCTTTCTGTAGTCCTCAGCCTCATTCAGTCCATGCCTTGCAGTTTCTATAAGTGAGACAAGTTTTAATTTGATGCTCCGATGCCTGGTGACACAGTACCCAAAATCAGAATGTTCACAGAGACTTGCTCAGAAATGATGACGGGTATAAATTAAAACCAACGTAGTTATATTGGTGTAAGTTTCTGTATATATAAAGCCCACATGGAGAGTTTCATGACTTCAAAAGTCCTTCATTCTCCCCTTTAGAAGTCTCCTCAAAGGTCCGCCTTTCTTCCCTGTTGAAGTCTGAACAGTTAGTTGACTCTTTGAAAATGCAGTTCTACTTTATCCTTTTTTGGTTCCTCAAGACAGAAGGACTTCAGGGACAAAATATACTATCAGGTTATGTCCACACTCTAGACGACAAACTCAAATGAGATGTTAAAGTAAGGAAAGAAAATTCTAAAGTTATAGAAGGCTACTGCATATAAAGATAAAAACTAACAAAACATGTAAATGGTATTACGAGCTTTCGTGGGCACAGCCTACTTCTGAGAGGAAGCCATTAAAAATAATTTTTCTATGTATAAGGTCACAGTTTTCCTATATGGTGTTTTGGGACCTTCCTGGATTAGAAGTGAAAGCTGTGCCCCAGTGGGAATCTGAAAAAAAAAAATCACATTTTTCAATTACATAAAAGTTATTTCTAGTCTTACAGAAGCTTAAGATGTTAGACTCAAGTCATATCTATTTTAAAAAATGAGTTCTGTGGCACTTTAGGGCATCTACACTGTGGAGTTATTTTGAAAAACTCCCCTTATCTCAAAATAACAAGGCAAGCGTCCACACTACCAAGCCTGTTATTTCCAAATAATGGGGTTACTTTGAAATAACTCCTGCTTATGAAGAGGAATAAGCTTATTTCAAAAGTTATTTCAGGAGTTATTTCAAAATAACCTGGTAGTGTAGACATAGCCTTAGAGACTAGCAGATTTATTAGAACATAAAACCCACTTTATTAGATGAATTGGTGTAAAATAGGTGTATCTACTTTAGGTATAGAAAACTAATTTATTTTGGGCAGGCATAATTTGGGGGAATATATGCTACATTTGAGGATAGGTATCCAGAGGTCATTTGTATGAAGTGGTAATCGGCCATCTGTTCACATACAATCACAGATTACCCTGGATACAAGGTTCCTTTTATGGTTAGGAAAATTTGGCATCATGCCCTTTGTTTGCAGGCTGTTATCACATAAATTCAGTCCATGTACTTTCTGCCTCTCCTGTACGGGTTATACCAGTTTTCTGTTGTGAGAGAAACCAGAAAATGACTAATTTGGTCTGTAGATCATCTCACTGTGTTACTAGATATACCCTGACCCTACTCATTGGCTTCCTGAAAAATCTTGCCCCAGAAGAACTTTAAAAGTCACCAGTAAAAATTATGCCTGAATATTTGCCTTCCAAGTTCAAAGGCACATCAGAGCACATGTCCCTCCCTGGCTGTGGTGGGGGAAAGAAAAAGAAATGAAGCACTTCCATAAATATCAGCTATGAATACTTCTCTTTTGGAAAGAGACACCAGTCCATGGATCTTTTTCCAGTGTTTCTGAAACAGATTTTGTCCATGCCAGGGCTGCCTTCAGTCATCAACTGGCTACAGAATACCATGCAGAATTCCTACTTCACAAAGAAAGAATCTACTCAGTTTTCAATAGGATCCTTGGTATAATACTGCCCTATATGAGAATTAAAATATTTCACTATGGAAGAAAAAGTTACATCTGCCTTAAAGGTAATCAGATTATATTGGTTTTGCTTTACATTATAAAAATACGTTGCTTGCCAACTCAAAGCACTTAGATCTTGTAGGAAATTCCCATTTAGATTTGGTTGGATTTTCCAGTACCAAGCTGAGAGGAGTACCTTGACCTAGTTTTCACCCAGAAAGAAAATATTTTCTTGTTTTTCTCTCTTGCTCTGGGAACTTGTCAAATGGAATGTCCAAGACTGAAAGTACCATGTAAGCATTGTCTCAAAACAGTGTAGCGCAAATAGCTCATCTTGCCTTGCCTCCCTTGGGCTCCAGTTCAGAAAGCTGTTCTTCCTACAAAGAGGACTCAAAACTCATAATGTTTCCTGTATTTTGCATGCTCTTCTCTCCCTCCCCCCCAAGTCAAAGCTATTGTACCTGGAATTATTCATTACAGAAGAATCCAAAGAGCATAAGAGTCTTCTCCTTTTGTATCTTGTCTTTCCAGAGACTAGTGCCATTTAAAAGTCATATCCTTCAGAAAGCAGATCTTATGCCTTGCCTGTGATTGACAGGTCTGGTTCTGCCACCAAGGTGGCAAGCAACAACAGAATATACTGATCTTACTGACGCAGAAACTCAACTTCACTTTCAGATTTCTGTCTGGAAGACAGAACAGCACTTTTGATAAAATGAACAGATTTGATCTAGAAATCAATGACACACAAACACGGGACTCCACAATGCCATTTTTGTCACTTTTCAAACATGTCCAAGGTGGAATAAGTTGATGATAGCTAAAACTAAGCTCACTATTAAGTTAAGGTAGCCATAGGAGCCCCAATCAAATTCAGTGGCAACCACTGATGTCAACAGCAGTTAAACCAAATACATGATATTGACTACATAATCACAGTACCAGTGTTTAATAAATCATTTATGTAAAACAATCTATCTTAAGTCAGACAACATAGTACTGAGGCAGTGAAACATAGTGGGATAAGGGCAGGATTCCAGAACAACCATGGATGTGTAACTTCTCCCACAACAGCTTGTGAGAACATAACATAGTCTTCAGCAACAACTGCTCAAATCTCTACCAACTGAGCTAAAAGAGAAACCACAATAGCACTCTCTTATCTGTTATGTGGAACAGACACTAGCTGGAAACATGACACCTTGCGCCAAAGCCAAACACTAAAATTTCAGGGGTTAGCCAAGTTAGTCTGTACAGGAAAAAACAACAACAAATGGTCTGCTAGCACTTCATAGACTAACAAAACATGTAGATGGTATTATGAGCTTTCGTGGGCACAGCCCACTTCTTCAGATGACCGGAGTTCATATGAAACTTATTATTAAATTTAAATTGAGTTCATATGAAACTCCGGTCATCTGAAGAAGTGGGCTGTGCCCACGAAAGCTCATGAAAACATGTAGATGGCATGTTAGTCTATGAAGTGCTACCAGACCATTTGTTGTTTTTTTTCCCTTGCCTAAAAAGCAATCTGAAGGTGGAAAAATGGGTTAAACCTTCTATTTTTTTTGGCTTTTTCATGTTGTACCACAGAAAACCGGATAGATTTGTTTTAAAATGTTTTGATTTTTGATAACTTAGAAATATCAGGAATGTCTAGCCCGATTTAGCTGGAGGTCTCCTTGGAGGATGAAACATTATATGGAATAGGACCTTTTACAGTCCTTCAAGAGGCAGAATACTTTATCTTTGAAAAGTGTTTTTTCTTAAGTCTTTAAGTTGAATAAAAACCTTAATATAAACAACGGAAAAGTAAACAGTGTATAGAGAAATTACTTGTACATTAGTTAGATTGCAATTCCTTGTTTCCGATAATGCAATAATTCTACTATTTTTCAGTTTTCAATAGAACCCTACCAGAAAAAAAAAGTAGTTGAGATCTGAATTTGTGAAGTAAAGCACAGAAAAAGAGACTTTTATTTAAAAAAATAATAATAAAGCCTAACCCGACTTGTACGCCCACTGTATACGTCATGAAGAACCAAAAAGCAGGCGTTTTAGCCCACTTCTAGCATAAGAACATTCTATTCAAGTGATGAGTAACAAGCCAGCTTATGAGTATATTTCTAATTTAGGATGAAGCGTGCTAAAATGAAGCCATCACTCCATTTGTGTATATAAATGCTATAAATAATCCTATGTGGCTTTCTATAGCTATTTGCAATGGAACTTAAAATGTATTTTTATTATGATTACAGTTTTTAACAGAGTTTATGTTGCATAAAGATAATTTTAAACTTTATGAAACTGAGAACCAGAACTTAAAAAAATTAAAAAGTGGCAGATTAGAGGAAACCCTGATATAAATAGCAACAAATATGGAAAAAGATTAAGGGAAAATTAGGATATTAAAAAGTAACCGTTTTACATTTAACATAATAAACGCAGTTTGTGAATTAATTCTACAGGATGTGAGTAGATGTTCTCTTTTTAAGGGAGGAAGGATGGTTTTGTGGGTAAAGCATATGATTAGAGATCATAAGCTCTGGGTTCTATTACTGGCTCTTCTCCAGACTTTATGTGACATTGAGTAAAATCACTTAACCTCTTTGTACCTAAATTTCCATATCTGTAAAGTGAAAATATTATTACCTCAGAGGAATGATGTAAGACTAGATTACTATTCAGGAAGTGTGCTAAGAGCCTCACTTAGGAGATGTTATAAAGTATATTATTTGGTTGCATGGAAAGGGAGAAACAGCCAATGGTCTGAATACAAAATTAGTAACTAGAAACATCAAAGTCTTTCACAGACTTATAACATTAGCATAAAGTCACTCAAATTTCTCTATTCCTGTCACTGTTTCTCATCTGAAAACAGAAATAATTCTCTGCCTCTTAAGACCTAACTAAGGTGTTATGTTTGAAAACGTAAGCTTTCTTATCACTGTTTTCTCTCCACTACTCTTTCATAAAGAAATTAATGTATTTGAGCAATCCCCAACCACACACGCATTTAAAATGTGGTTTTAATAATAAATTTCCTAGCTTGTATACACTGCTATGTCCATTTATTTACATAATTAAATCAGGTGACCATTTGATTTTTGCTTACAAACAAGGGGAACCCACCCCCTTCAAACATTCTGGAAAAAGCAAAAGGCACAATAATTTAATGAAGACTCAGGAGATTAAAACATCATATACAATGAACTACAGTAACTGCTGCATTTACAAGAGTGTGTTTGTTTTCATTCCTGGGAAATTTACCTTGATCAAACATTACAAATCTTCCCCTTTGCAACACACCTTGGCACCAGCAAAACTAGGGAGGTTTTTAAAATCTTTCAAACTATAGGATTATTATGTGTGTTATTTTACTAGTCCTGCTGTTGCTGCCTACAAGCTCTGGCTCTTCAGACTAATCCAGTGCAGCAGCAGGGATTTTGCAGCATTACAGGAGGAGGGACAGCAGGGGAGGGAGAAGTAGTGACCTCAGAGTACCTTGAGCAAGTTTTATATAAACCAGGTAAGCTGTCCTGAGGTGACACTCACTGAAAAGCTAAGAAGCAGACTCCCAATAACTAAAAGGAAAGCAAGAGGTCCCTTTAGATAATATAGGTAACTTTCATTTTTTACTGCAGTTTCCTAGCCCAATCCAGGCACACTAATCCTCATTCCACCGCAAAGGAAAACCGCCCTGCTCTCCCCATTGCGCCTGCTTCATCCCCACCCCCCACTTTTGTAGCTTGCCAAGAAAGCCCCATTTCTCCTCCCTCTAGCATATGGCTCCTCTGCCTGCTATAGCCTACCAAGGAAAGGTAGTACCTGCCTCCCCCAATAGCCTTCCTTTCCTCCCATCTCCACTAACGGTATCCCTCTCCCACTGGCTCTTAATTAAACAACCCCGCAGCATTTCCTCCTCCCTTCCAAGGTTTCCCAATTAAGGGCATTTTGGAGTTTTCCTTCCTCCCCAGTTCTCCAATGACAGGAAGAGCCCAGAGGGGCTTGAATGCAACCTTGCACCACTGCAGTCTCCCCGTAACAGATGCCATGCACCTTCTTTCCCACAGGCTCGTGCATAGCGGG